AAGGAACCCTAAAAACAACTTTTTTTAGTGGGACCTCGAAATTTTTTTTCTTTAAAAAAAAGCTTTGTAGCATCTGCGATTATACTAAAAAAAAAGGGGAAAGAAATTAATTTAGTAACATTTATTGTGAAGAAAGAATTTTATTAATTGCTTCATCAATAAGAGGCAGTGTCGAATTCATAGGTCTATAGGTGTTTTTGTCTAGCCTTTTTGTCTAGTAGTTTCTCTGCATAGTGTCTGCATAAATCGAATCGTCTAAAATAAGTTGAATTAGGGTTTTAAAAATGAACAGTTAGAATGGTTATCGGAGAAAAATAATTCTTTATGATTGAATTTGATTATTTTATTTTGAGTTTTAAAAGTTCAGTGAGAAATCCTCTTACAATAATAGTCTAAATAATAGTTAAAGAATTTTTTAAAAAATTTTTTCATTGAATAATTTTATGAAAATAACCGAAATAATAAATAAAAAATAGATTATTGGTTGGCCTATTAAAAATTTCAAAAATAATTACTACGTAATAAACAAAAATAATCGAAAATAAATTCAAAGTGTCCTAACTCACGGAACCCTAGCGCTCCGTGGAACACCTTTTGGGAACCGCTGATTTAGACCCCATTTCTAACCCCACTGATACTTATTACCTTGCGTACGCTATAAGTTCCTCCCCGCTCTTGTTTCTATTTTCGTTAAATTATTTTTCTACCTTGCACCATTAAATTTTATGTTCAATCGAATCGTTATATTTATATGTGTACCTTATTTAAGAAATGCCTATAGTTAGTAAGTATTTAGTAAATTCAGTATTGAAGTAATATACTAAATATATATCCGTTGTAAATGTTCACAATACTTGGAAAATGTGAGACTGCGAATAAAATTCGTTATTTAACGTTTAAACGATAAAGGCATTTTATCTCTGCAGATTATCTGCTGCCAAATGTAAGTAAATGAAAATGACATTCATGTGTGACAATTCCAACTTTTGGAACATTTTATGAACATTCTACTTAAAAAATTTATCTTATTGGTACAACACTTCAGTTGATAAGCTTACACGATTCAGTTTCAATGTGACTACTTTATCTTGTGATACTCAATAAAAATAGCGATAAAAAATATACTGATGTTTTGTCCGTTAACCATTACACCCCGCAAAAAAATATTTTTGACGTTTTATGCTGTGTGCCCTGACACTGTTTTGCATTTGATCTAAAATTTTAAACCCCTCTGGTACCGCAACAACGTATTCTTTGGCATGTAGTAAAAACTTTGATGTGTTATGCTTAAAAAGGATCATTAAAGATAATCTTTTTAGTAACACGACAAATTTAATATAACAGAATAAAAGTACAAAAAGTAAAAATCACGTACACACATTTCACTACTCATACCAAAAATCTCTTAAATGGAAAACAGTTTTTGTACGTTTTTCCTTCCCGGGGGGGGGGCAGTCTAATCGTTTTCTCTGCTACCAAGTGAAACCTTTTCAAAATAATTTTTAAAACTCCTTTTGGAATCAGCATCACAAACTCAGAGTTAATCGCGGTTTTAATAAAAATTCTTGGGGCTTATAAGTTTTTTAGAAAATTAGTTTTCTTTCCAGGGCTACAAAAAAAAAGTTTTTGTTACTATACTTGCTACATAAATTAGTATTTTTTTAAACATAAATTTGCATTTTAATGAGATTTTTCTAAAAAGCCAAACTGTTATCACGGTTTTTAAATCGAGGAAAATTATTTTTGATTGCGCTCCGTCAATCCCCCCCCCCTCCCTAGTTAAAGTTTTACCAAAATTTGCCTGTACCGCAGTGGACAGATCGTAAAGACACAGTTCCCGTCTAACAGTGAAGTCGTGCCTGACTGGCTGCGGTCAGTATGCGGGTGGGACCCCACTTTGATCAGCTTGCGTAGGGACCGAGGGTGCGCGGAATCGGTCCTCGTTAAACTGTTCTACCGTGAAGTGCTTGACTTCGCACGCAGGTCGTCGGGCTACCAAAGCAGGGAGGCCATCCTCTCTGCAGATGATCAAAATTGCAAAGGCGTTTCTTCAGATCATCCTCAGGGATGTTTCCCAGACAGTCACCAATAGCCATTGTGCAGTTCTAGTGCGACGTAAATAAAGTACCTGCCTACCTACCAAAATTTGCTTACGTTAGAATCCCCTTGCGTCGGGCTTACCGTGAAGGTTTTTTGAAAACTTCAGTTTTAGTCAAATTTTTTTATTTTTTGTTCAATTTTGTTTTCATTTTTTACAATTGTTTTCTAAAGAAAAAAGACAAAAAAAAACTTTTTTTTTTAAAATTAAATATAGGAAACATCAGAATAGTTTTTTTTTATTTTTTATAAATTATATCGAAATCTGTACATTCGTAGAAATCTAAGTTTTTTTGCATTTTATTTTATTATTATTATTATTATTTTGCCTTATCTCTTAATGAAAATGTTCTGAATTCTTAGCTTTTCTATTTAAGTTTAAACACTGAAGTTTTTTCACTGAAGGCACTATATATTTTAACTATATAACAGGTGGGCTGAAAAGTTCGTAGGCTGACACATAGATAGCGCTACTATTTTTAAATCCATAAGATTTTTAATTAGTTCTAACTTTCGAAAGACACGTGTATAAATTTGACAGCTGTCGGACTATTAGTTTGTGAGATATAGTATTTTTAGTGAAGCAACTTCTGTTAGTTTGAAAACAATGGATAAAAAGGAATTTCGTGTGTTAATAAAGCATTGCTTTTTAGCGAAAAAAAATACTGCTGAAGCCAAGACTTGGCTTGATAAACATTATTCGGACTCTGCACCAGGAAAATCAACAGTTGAGAAGTGGTTTGCTAAGTTTAAACGAGGCGAAATGAGCACCGACGACGATGCACGCAGTGGACGCCCCAAAGAGGCTGTTACCGACGAAAACATCAAAAAATTTCACAAAATAATTTTAGATAACCGTAAAGTGAAGTTGATAGAGATATCTAAGACTCTAAAGTTATCAAAGGAACGTGTTGGACATATCGTGAATGAATATTTGGGTATGCGAATGCTCCATGCAAAGTGGGTGCCGCGCGAGCTCACAATCGACCAAAGACAAAAACGAATTGATGATTCTGAGCTGTGTTTGAAACTGTTTAATCGTAAAAAACCCGAATTTATGCGTCGTTATGTGACAATGGATGAAACATGGCTCCATCATTTCACACCAGAGTCAAATCGACAGTCAGCCGAGTGGACTGCACGAGATGAACCAACTCCAAAACGAGGAAAGACGCAACAGTCAGCTGGCAAAGTTATGGCATCAGTATTTTGGGATGCGCATGGTATAATATTCATCGACTACCTTGAAAATCGAAAAACTATCAACAGCGACTATTACATAGCGTTATTGGAGGGTTTAAAGGACGAAATCGCAGAAAAACGACCCCATTTGAAGAAGAAAAAAGTGCTGTTTCGTCAAGACAATGCACCGTGTCACAAGTCAATGAAAACGATAGCAAAATTATATGAATTGGGGTTCGAATTGCTTCCGCATCCACCGTATTCTCCAGATCTGGCCCCCAGCGACTTTTTCCTGTTCTCAGACCTCAAGAGAATGCTCGCTGGAAAGAAATTTAGTACCAATGAAGAAATAATCGCTGAAACTAAGGCCTATTTTGAGGTGAAGGACAAATCATACTATAAAAATGGTATCGAAAAATTATATGACCGCTATAACCGCTGTATCGCCCTTGAAGGACACTATATTGAATAATAAAATAAAATCTTATCAAAAAATTTTTTTTTTCTATGTTAGCCTACGAACTTTTCAGCCCAACTGTTATATGATATGGTCCAAAATAGATTTTCACCACGTAAGACTAGAATTTTAAATAATGGTAGAAAATTCGATTAAAAGTGCATAGCTTAGAAGAAATTAAACTAATAATTTTTCGTTAAAAAGAATTCATCAAATTTATTCATTTTATTATTATTGCATGAAAAATGATAAATTTGATTTCCAGCACTTTTTACAGATAATAGAATACTTTTATGGTGTATTTCACTTTTAGTTTTATGAACAAACTTCCACAGTTTTGAAACAAAATTCTATTAGACTCAAATAGTAATAAAAATGTCCATCAGATTACTCGAATCAAATTTCTTACCCTTTTCAATAACTTGCATAAAAAATTATAAAGCTTGATTTTTAGCACTTTTTGCATTTAATAGGATACTTATATAGTGTATTTCTGTTTTTGTTTTAGAGTGTATTTTGGTCTTGAAACAGAATCCAATAGAATCTATTAAAATATTTATGCCTCATAAAACTGTCCAAAAGGTTTCTGGAATCAAATTTCTTATCTTTCTCATAATTTTTTTTTATTGTAATTAAAAATTCCAATCAACGGAAGTTAAACCAACTATACTTATACATATACAATCATTTTATAAAGACATACAAACAGAAAGAAAAAAACCTATATGTCAAATTTTATATAATTTTGAGTAATAAAATTATTCCAAATGATTCCCAATATATTAAAAACTGGGTCTCAAGAGATTACTCGGTTAAAAACTTTATTCGCTTCAAAAGTATACGAATTGAAAATAACAATCAGCATGTTTCAAACGCTCAAAAGCAGGCACCCATTTTCAAGACTTGCCTGGTGAGAATGAGAAGAAGCAAAAGTGATTTGAAATATAAAGCGCAAAGTTTAATTGCCAACAAAAAGTGGAAAAATGAAGATGAGAAACAAAACTATAAATACGATACTATAATACAAAACTATAATGTCGACTGTTATTTAAAATTTGTATATTTTTGAAGCGCATAAATTTTTTAATCAAATAATGTATTACCGCTTCAGTTTTTTAAGTTTGTTTATTTAATAGGTATCTTAAAATTGCAAATTTTATTGCAAGAACAAATATTTTCCTTGATAATTTGATATTTCTATTTTTTGTTGAATTTATGATGCGTCAAATGAATAAAACAACTGATGCATATAATTTTCTTACAGATAAGTGGCTTAACTCATGTTAATGTTCCAATAATGTTGATGCCTGATGATTTTAAAGCCTTCAGCAAAGTGAAAGTTGACAACCATTGTTTTAACAAGTCAGTATGCTGTTTTGATACTGTTCGTTGTTTAATTTAATACTTAAGTAAAAAGCTGCATTCATACGATATAGTAAAATTAGCTTTCATTTTACGACAAACTATTGTCATAAATTTTATTACCCAGAAGTGTTTAATTTTTTTTTATTTTTATCTTACAATAAAAGTTTAAAGTTAGTATACACTTGAATGTTTACTAGAAAATTGTTTGAGAATTGTGAGAATTGTTTTAAAGATCTAGGTTCTTTAACCACTTTTAGGCAGTGGTCGGAAAAACATTATTTTTGTAGTGGGAAGGAACTACAAACTTATCGAAATGTAGTCATTCTAAGCTTCAAATTTTTATGCCTTTCTCGACAACAAGAAATTTAAGAAATGTTAGGAAATTATCAAATATTTTCATTTTTGTTAAGTATTTAAAGCTTTTTTTATATTTTCTGTAAGGAATAAAGTTTAGTGGAAATTCCGAAGAAAATATGTTTCTTTCCATTGAAATAACATCAATGTTTCACAAGTGTACACTGTACCTCCTCATTTGAAGGTGCGGCTAATGTTATTATTCGTAATTAGTTATTATTCAGAATGGCTAGTTTAATATTAGTAAAACGTAATTCTTATTAATGCTCGGTCACATTGTCAACCACGGAAGGAAACAGCAAGTACAGTAGTTTTGTTTCTTTCATAGCTCTACTTTCAAACACTGATTTTAAGTGTATAGTTTGATTCTTTTAAGAAAGTATAATAATGCATCTAATGCTACTTTAGGTGGTACAATTATTTACATATATAATATGCTATGCTATGATATATGAGCCGCTCAGAAGCCAATGCGGTTAAGTCCATTTTTTGATATTTTCTGATTTTTGGAAATTTTGATGAAATAAATAATAATCTTCTTAGTTATTAAAGGATTTACTCGTTTTTTACTTTTTTCTAGGTTAGACAGCAATTTTTTTAATAGCTTTTGAATATATTATATAATAATTTCAGAAGCCATTGTGAATAAGTCCACCTTTTATCAATATTTTTTTACATAAGCTTTGAAATTAAAATTAAATTCTTCTTTCGATATTTGTTGGTAACACTGAAAAACAAGAAATTCATAGTAANATATTTTGAAAAACAATAAAACCAATTTCGATCCTACATATTTGTTTTTTCATTATTAGGCCAGAAATATAAATAGCAACCCTCGTATGCTATGCTATGATATATATGATATGATATATATTACAGAGCAAAATTTTTGTAAGTTGTGCACAATGTGAAAATTTTGCAATATTTTCTTTAAGCAATATGCAACCTATCTTTGGGAAAAAAGGATTTACAATGATAAATTTTTAAAAAATTATTATTTGTTGTTTTCGTCAGCTGAATATTTTCAATTAAGAAATACTGGAGTTATAAAGTAAGGCAACAATTATGCATTCATTTAAATAAATTTATTAAGAGAGAAAGGTATTTTAATAATATAAATACTTGCTTCAAAATAGAAGCCCATTTATGTAACAAGAGCTTATTTTCAAGACTTCAGGACTAGCGATTATTGAGAATGGGTGTCTTTTATTGAGTGCTTGTCAACTTTTTGCACCTTTATAATTTTTGAAGCAAGTGGCGTTCTTTATGTTATCAAGTGTGTTTTCCCGCTTTAATTTCTTATTGGAATTATTCAATTGAGAAAAATTTATTGTTTATTTCCGTCAAAAAGATAAAATGCTCTTAATGCTTAATTATGGTAAATAATTACAATTACTAATTGAAATCCTCTATCAGTGTGTCCCAATATTATTTACTTGAATTCGATTATTTTATTTTGAATTGAATAGCTTTATGGATATACTTATGGAATACCAGTACTTATGGAATGTTTTTCATCCTTTTCATAATTTATTCAACATATTCATTTTTAAATTTTTTTTAAAAATTTCGCTACTTTTTTTTAATTGGCATTTAACAGAAATAATTCATATAAACAACTTAAATATTATATAAGTTAAAGATTATTGATAGAATATAAATATTATTATTACTAGTTTACAAAAAACTTAACTCTCAGAACCCTAGGGTTCAATGGAACACCTTTTAGAATATGCTGATCTAGTGAATCAAAGAAAATAGGAAAACAAAGCTGCAATTGCCTTAGGCTATCCAAGGCCTGATTTATCATAAAGCCTGAAAGGCCTAGACCTTATCATCCTACTTTTCTGGAGTCCAACAAATGTTACAAAAAATTTTTTTGTGAGTTTTCTCTTAAAAATTGTCTACTATTTGTATGTGTTAACAAAATTGAATCAAATATACACAAGCATTCAATTTATTAATATGCTAATATATCATCATAATTTACTTATGTTATAAATAATTTAAAAGCCTTTAGTAAAAAAGAAAAAGAAAAAAAAGAAACATGTAAATTTGGTTTTAAGTTGCGACTATTGGGACCATTATCAAGTTGTGACCCTTGGCGATTCTCTGCCTACAACCCCCTAGATCAGGCCCTGATGGCTATGAAATCTTATTCTTTTCTGCAAGATTCAAGTTTAAACTGGAGACTGGAAGATTCTGTATTAATTAACACTCTACTTGTCCCTGCTATTTTAAGATGAAGTATATCATTATATGCTACTTCCATTGTTAAAATATTCCTCTTTCAATTGATAGAAATTTTTATGTTTGCAAATGCATTCTGTAATGTTCTAACTGACAAAAACTTTTTTTAAACTTTTTTGTAGGGAAAATATGCCCAGCCATTTTAAAGTCAAAGAATATTGCCCATTAGTTTTCAGAAATTTAAGAGAAAGATTTGGTATCAACGAAACAGATTACATAGTGAGTATAATTGTCTTACTTTTTAAAATATATAGATTATATCTTAGGATTTTTTTTCCCTTGCTTGTTGCTAATTCAAACTTTACTTACAAATAATCATTCTTTTATATTTTTAGAATTCTTTGACCAAGTCTCAACCTATACCTATTGATTCGGACAAGAGTAAACTTTATGAGTCATGGGATAAATTGTTTGTCGTAAAATCTTTACAGAGTGAAGAAATTGAATTTATGCATACCTTGCTGAAACATTATCATCCGGTAATTAATATTCATACATTTTTAATCCTTGTTATTCACCATTTGGTATTATCTTAATCCTTTTGTGCTTAGACATAACATACAGTCTATATATGAAAAATTCCTACCTGCAAAAAGTGGTAGTACACATTTGCTTATAACAAGTTGATATTCTCTTGCCTACTACAGGCTCGCTTTTGGAGATCTGAACCCAAGATACCTAGAATTACTTAATTGGAGATGTTCATTGGATAAAGACTAAATTTTGCAATCTTATCACTCAACCTTTGGCCTCTAAACAAGGAAATTAGTTAAAAACTCTTCTATCACTAACCTGTGAAAGAAAAAGCAGAGATAAAATCTACACCAACTGAAACTCCCAGATGATTGAAACATAGATTAGAAAAGGAAATCAAAATATTAAGTTAAGTAGAAGTCATCTGGCAATTAGAGCTATCCCCACAAAGCAAGAGCACCGAACAGAAGACACAAATCGCTGAAATTTTTATACCTTATAAATTTTACAATTTTTAAAGTTTAATAATGGAACCAAACATTTGTTTAAAAGTTGTTTAAAAGTTTATGAGAATTTTGTCATGAATCCGACGTTGCTCAAGCTTGAAATCTTCTTTCAACAAACCTTCTTTCAATCAGATTTGGGCTGAGCCCGTCTAGTTTCCATTGCCCACCACTTCAGCTATAACAAAAGCAACTTCAGATTCAAATATAAATATTTATATTATTATTTTGTAGTAGACAGAACTGTCTTATTTTTTCCTAATTAATTCTAATAATGAAACACTTGTGCTACCACTTTTTCCTTTTTTGAATAAAGCAGCATTCTTTTAATAGCAGGCCGGGCACAAGTGAGTTAAAAATTGTTAGCAAAATACTATCTATTTCCTGAAATTATTGTCTTGTACAGCAACTTGTGCTTTGTCCTATTTATCACCGATTTCTTTAATTAAAATTAATTAATTATGCTGAAATTAAAAAAAAATTATGCTGTGTGTGTTTTTTTTGGCCATGTGTACTTATTTTTTTAAAATTTGTCATTAATTCTTTTTATGCAAAAAAAATCATGATTCAATCAAGAATCATTTTGTTTCTGATTTAGTTAGGTTTTTTTATTGGTCACCATTGATTTTATTTCTTTTTTGAAAAAAATAGAATAATTGTTTTTATGTGTTTTCTCCATAGTTTACTTGCTTTTTATTAGTTAACTTTAATTATTTTAGTGAAAAAGAATTATTGTTTCTGCTATAAAATTTTTTTTTACTTATTGTTTCTTTTCTGTTAGTCATTGATTTTGTTCATAAAAAAGAAAAAAACATTTGAACTATCAAACAATTTTGTAAATAAAATTATTTGCTCGATTTTTGTTTGTAATTGTCATTGTCTAATTATTGTCAATGGGTAATTGTTGGACAATGAAATAAAGAAATTCAGATTATTAATGTTAGTTCAGAGAAATGAATTGTTTTTGCGAATTAATTGATAAAGAATTTTTTCAAGCAATTAAGTTTATCATAGATTGTGAAACAGATTGTCTTGTATTTGTCCTTTTGTTTTTATATGATTCAATTCAAAACAATATTTTTAGTGTGAAAAAGTTATTTTGAATCAATTCATATAAATATTAATTTTCAGAATTGATACATCTCTAAATTTTTGTGAATAAAATTTTTGATTGAAAAAGACTTATTTCCATATTATTTTAAATAATGCATGGCTTACATTCAATTATTATCAATATTATTTTGAAAATGAAAAATTTTAAAATTTTTAGAAAGAAAATTAGAAAAAAATTCTAAAATTTTGAAATTTTAGAATTTTTAGAAAGGAAATTTCAATAAGAGGTTAAAGAAATAAAATTTCTTAAAATTATACTTGTTGAACAATGATTTTATTTCTATTTGATTTTAAATGTTTTAACTCATATGTCCGAATAAGTACTTATGAGTTAAGAAATAAAAAATGCAAATATAATATTGTATAAGTCATTACATTTTAAACCTATATTGTTATAAATGTGTATCTTAATTTTTTTAAAAAGAGAGAGAGAGATGGAAATGGAGAGGAAAGCCCAAAATATAGAGAAAAAAAGATATCAAATCAATTAATGTGTTATTATAGTTGGAAGTGATAAATTTATTAATTATTTCAAAGAGTTTGTTTTATTATTGTTTTTTTTTACGTCAAACTGATTGCCATTTTTATTCCTAAAGTTTTTCCTTTTCTCTTTATAGTTGCAATAAACAACAGTGATTTTTATTAAATTTTAATTTTAGTATATTGTTGAGAAACATGGGAAAACCCTCCTTCCTCAGTATCTTGGATTGTATAGAGTGACTGTTGAAGGGAATGAGACATACCTAGTAGTCATGAGAAATATATTTTCAGGAACAACAAAGATTCATTGTAAATATGATATAAAGGTAAAAAATATGTTTTGTAGATTTTTTTTCTCGATACATTTCTGAGTTTTTATATGCTTAAATTAATTTTTATTTCCAATAGGGGACCTCTGTTGATAGAGAAGCCAGTGCAAAGGAAAAGGTATTTCTTTTTTTCTATTTATTTATTATAATGAGTGTATGTATATATTGTTACATATTTGTAAATATATGTATAGTTTTGTAAATATTTGTTTTTTTTAATGCTGAATATCTCAGATGAACCCTAAATAAGCAGTTTAATTAGGAAATTTGCAAGAAAGTCGCATAATTCTATGGTATAATTAGAGAAAAAATAACACCTAAAGTATTTCTTATGGAAGACAATTTTTATTATAGAATTATAAAGATTTCTTTGGCGACATTTTTCCCGACTTGGTGACACTTCACCAGTTAGGCGACAGATTGATAGTTCCGGAAACTTTAAGTTTCAAATGAAATTGAACATATTTTAAGATTAATGAACTTTACGTTCAAATACAAAATGTTCCTTAAGGACCGCCTTTTTATAAATATATTTCTAAATTCTGCCCAAATTGAAGTAAAAAAAAGTATATACATGAAAGGTTTTAAATTAATATTTAAGCGGGGTAGAATTAAAATGATATGGAAATCAAATGAATCACTACTGCTGAAGGTGAGACTGAAAACATTAAAACATGTTTGATTGCTGTAGGAAACGTTAAAGAGTTGTAAGGCACTTCAAGTTTCCTCAGGTAATCATACCTTCTTTAATGATTAGTTACATTTTGACAATGCTTTAGTATTTTTCTAGCTTGGTTTCTTTAATATTTATTTGCAAACCTAGAAACGTGTATACTTATTTACTTCATTTTTGACTAGGTTTCTAAAAAGATGTATTAAGGATGGTCATTAGAATACACCTGTATATAACTAATTTTAGTTCTTTGTTTTTGACTGCTAACAGATTTTCATAATAGAAATAACGTTAGATATTTTTATCATTGTTCTTATTAATTGAATATAAATATTCTACTTTAGAACAAGTTAAAATATTTGAAGAAATGTATTGTAGATTGTTACAAACTTAGAATGCAAAGGAAGATAAAATTTTATGACATTTTATGGTTATGGATATGCCTCTTTTGGTTTGAAGCTTATTTTATTTCTGTTTCATTTGAAGAAATTACTTTTTAATTATTTGTTATCAATTCTTTATTTTTAAAATGCTTTTTCCCCCCCATTAGACTAAGGAAATGCCAACTTTAAAAGACGGAGATTTTATAAATGATGGCTGTAAATTGTATGTGGGACCAGAACACAAAGAAAAATTGCTGGCAATGCTATCAGCTGATACAGACGTAAATATATTCACAATTTCTTTATATATTAATTTATAACATAAAGCATTTTATAGTTTGTCTATGGTAAGAACTTTCCCTGCCGCAAAGTCCGAGGCCGTCTGCAGCTGTGGAAACAAGAAAAGCGCATTTCAGGGAGGGTAGCTTCTCTTCCCTCTAGGCCTAACACAGTAGACTGTAAAAAAATATTCCCTCTCTCTCCACCCCACGCCAAAAACTGTCCTAAACAATGACCAAACACCTTACTTGAAATAGTTATACCTCATTACCATAGTTACTGCCGCAGGCTCAGATGAATGGTTACGGGAGTTCTTACTTTAGACAACCTATCCCGGTTACTGGAAAAATAATTGAAAGAAAATATTAAAATTTTAATACTGATACTAGTATTAAACAGTCACAAGAGCATTAATTGCTTGGTGAACTATCTGTATGTCATTTTTTATACACTCTTCACATTATTCCCGTAGCGCTTCGCGCTGTCGTGCCACAGGGCCCTGGTTCGATCCTCGGGCCCGGCAAGGTTGACTCAGCCTTTCATCCCTTCAGTGGGTAGACCAAGCATGAGTGCCAAGCATGCTTGGGAACTAAACACTGGGGGTTCCGCGTTCGGCTGACCACCTTGCCGGAACATCTGCTCCTGCACCCCAGAGCCCGAGGTTAAGAAAACAGAGATGGGCACAGTATGCCTTGGCCCTCTACAGGCTGTCGCGTCGCTGAGTTTAGTTTTATTCACATTATTCTTATTGCTTATTTTTTTCTTAACTGATTGTGATTCAACGTTGCATCTTTTTTTATGAAATCTAGCTGGAAGATTCATTTTTGTAAAAACAATATTTATATTTTTTTGAGTTCCTGTGATTTATTTTTGAAATAGTTTAAAATTTTAGGTTTCATTGAACAATTTAGGGTAAAAAGGCATTTTTGAATTCTTTTTTTTACCAATAATATTGTATGAGGTCATTTGATCCACTATTATAGTTTTTTTTAATGAAATTTTTGTTTATAATTTTTTCTTTGGTATTTTAACTCTTGTCAAATTTGTAATTTTAGTTCCTAGCTTCACGTGTTCATTTGACTGACTATTCGGTATGTCTTGGAATCCATGATTGTGAAGCTGATGAAGAAGACAGCAAAGATTCAGACATTGAAGAGGAGGAAGAAGGAAGTGAAGACTCAACAACTGTTGTCCCCACACCCCCTGAGTCCCCTCGAATTATAACATTCATGGAGGATAGCAAAGAATTTAAATTACCTGTTGATCCATATGCTTTTAGAAGTTCTGAAGGTATTTTCATTTTTTATTTCAGTTTACATTTGTAGAAAATGCTGTATATTTCTTACATTTAAATCAAGTCTACAAAACAATATTAAAATATTTTTATGTTTCAAAATTTTAATATTATAAACAGTGCATTAAGTAGGAGTTTTCAACCTTTTGTGCTCAAGGGCTACCACAACAATATAGCAAAATAATGAGAGCCACATGTGTGCTAATACAGTGCCTACCGTTTATTAAAATCACTTTCGTTTTATGCTCTTTTAATTTTGTTAAGCGGCTGATTTTATTAAGAGGCGATTCAACATTTGAATAAAAAAACACATTTTTATGATGTATTCTAAATGCACACACTTTAATAGCTGAAATAATGACCACATTAATGCTTTATTTTAACTAATTTAATTATTTTAATAAAGTAAAACCCTACATAAGATTAAATTTACAAAAGTTTTCCAAAAAACCGATCAATGGTTGCTTGAGTTGCAGTATTTAAAATTAACTTTTCATCATCATTTGAGAGTTTATAGAAGTTTTTATAGTTTTCGCTATTCCTCCTCTTTGTTCTAAAGCTTGCCGCAATACATTAAGTGCTTTTCTGACTTCCATTGAAGATGGTACTGATGAGTTTATTTCATCATCTGAGTCTGATTCCTCTATTTCTTGATAGGAAATAACTTTGCAATTTTTGATGTATGTAACAATTTCAAAATCAGATTTTTCTCCTGGTGTTTGCTGGTTATCGTCAATAGCTACATAACGTGAAAAATTCTCGTCTATTTCATTTTCTTCATTGCTGAGCATTTCTTCGAAACAGTTATGAGCCCCATCTCCATCTCCATTGAAGCTTCACGTTGACTACATTTAGGCAACACTTCGAATTTATCTTTAACACTCAAATCCTTCCTTTTCGGCATGCTGATAAAATTTAACACCAAACGAACTTAAAAATGACATGTGCTCTAACTCTAACTTACTCAAACGGCTTAAATAATATGGAACATGCACACAGACAGTTTTTGAAAATCTATTCATGTTCTTTGTTAAGATAGATAACAAAAGAAACTTCTCTCCTTTCTATTGTTCATTCAATAAAAAAAAAGATAAGAATTCGACCCCCTGTTCAGTGAGATAGGTTTCTCCAAACTTCATTCAGTCAAGGAATTAACATTGATAAATTAATTTCTATGAACTTGTCACTTACCACCCACATTTTTCCTTAATTCTTACACTATGTATTTCGCAGGAAAGTGCTAACCACACCTGTTTCACAGGTTTGTGAGTAACTGTTGCTTCTTCTAAAAAAATGTTTAAACTTTGAAAAAATAAAATTTTATAAATAAGAACAAAAAAAGCTGAAATATTGCACCTTTGATTTATTATGTTGTCAAAATTTTGATTTTAAAAAGTGGTGGCATTGATTTTATAAAGGAGGTTTTTAACATGTATTAATATTGTAACGATTCGGTTCTTGCCGATTTGATTTTATAAAGCGGCTGATTTTATTATCCGGTGATTTTATTAGCGGCTGGCACTGTATAGGTAAAGAAATTTCATAGTTAAGGAGATTAACAGTTAATTTTAATGTAAATTGTTGATTGATCTCAGTGTGTTTCAATTCACTGTGTTTTAATTCTGTTAAAAAAATGTTAATTAAATAACATTTTTGGAAAAGGTAAATTCAGCCATGTATACAACTACAAATTCAAAATTTTAAAAAGTGTTTGTATTTTCATACATTTTTTTGCATCATATTTTATAAATGTTTAACAATTTAAATCCTTATTTTACTTACATTGATCCCCGTGATTTCCTGTGAATTACTTGCAAAAAAATGAACATCAAAACTATGGATAATCGACACAGCAGATATTCTGCTAAAATTATTTTTCAGACATCGCGATTTTACTGTTGACTTTGGACAGTCATAAAAGTGTAAAAGACCATTGAAACTGGATGGGAAAATTGTACACATAATTCTCTCTAAGCGTTTTTAGAAGGGCAGTCCACCCAGCTTGCCCTTTGATGCCTATAAATGCACCCTTCTTGCCTTTTTTTTGTTGAAAAAATTAGCCGTGAATTTGGAGACGCAAGTGAGAACCTCATTGGTGAAATACATTTACCCGTTATAAATTCTCCAATCAAGTTATTGTTCGCACCTCTGAAGTCACATACTGGGATTTTTGTGCTTCTCTACACTTGCATATGTGATTTTTTTTCCGCATTCGTGTGAATGCCTCTTGAACATAATCACATCGCTCTCCTGTTTCCCTGCCAATACGCAGTTCGAATCCAGCTGGCCGAAAGATCCCCATGTATTAAATGGTGGTTGGTGCACATTAAATATGTCAGGGTCACAAAGCCCCCCAAGTTCCCATAACAAATTGAAACCTCTGGGGGTACTGATATAGGACTTCCCTTGTCTTCTGGATTGGGCTCAAAACTACAAGGCTGCAGAGTTGAAGATTGGTAGTAATAAACTCTAATATGGGTCGGTTGTTCAACAACAGTAATAAAATAAAATAAGCATCAGTTGTGCTTTGTTTACTCTTAGTTATCTTCTGAAACAAACATCTTTAATTTTGTTTTCCTGCTATTGCTTTTTGCTAAGTGATATATTTTGGCAGGATATCAAAATGCCGCTGGCGGGGCAAGTGTTTCAACCCCTAAGCATAAAGTAAACAACTTATGTTTTCAGTTGACTGAATAAGTGTGTTTTATGAAATTCATACATGTTACACTTTCAACATTTTATTTACATTAATTTAGTTTCATACTGTAAGATGGAAAACAGTTCTTAGATTTCCCATAAACTTATGTGTTCTTAAAATAAAAAAAATTAACTTCACACTTTATCTTAGGTTTTAAATTTTTTTCCCCTTGACATTGGGCATCTTTTTAATTCTAAATTTTTCTCTGCCAGTTACAATTCTCCTTTTAAAATAAAAAATATTTTTTAGTTTCTTTTCCTGATATTACATAAATTAATACATATTTTGATAAATCGTTTGTAATGACATATATTCTAATTTATCAGTTACATTGATTTTATCCCTGTACTAAGATGTGAATATCTTTTTCTTAAAACTACAAATAGTTTTTGAGTTTAGATCACAAGTATGCCACTGAACAATTAAGCAATTTTTTTAAAAATATTTTTAACGGAATTAAAGACAAAAAGATGTTCTCTCTAAATATCTGTTGAAATATTTTTTTAAGCTTTTGGCACTTTTTTTTTAAGAAATTATTTTTAATGCTACCAAAAAAAGATAATAGTTTCTACAAAATAATAGTTGCCATTTTATGAAAATAAATTAATTTTCTTTTTTTAAAGGTATGAATCTAGATGATATTGTAATATATAAAATATTTTATTTTATCAAACTTTGGCCAAAATATCTGTGGTTCTGGTATCTTGTTAAAAGTTTCTGTTACTTAACTGTTGTTGCTGTTTCTAAATTATGATTTTTATTAAAAAATATCTGGAAAAGTATTATTCCTATTATTTTCAAATTATTTAGACCTATGGTGTGAAGTTTCATATCTGTGTTGTTTTTTTGAGCGATTAAGATCATTTCTTGGGATGAAGTTATTCCAGTTATTTTTTATCTATGTGTTTTTTAAATTTTTTGATATTTGAATGTTTTTTACAGATTCTCCCAGAAAGGAACTTTATTTCATTGGATTAGTGGAGATATTGTCACATTATGGCACAAGAAAGCGCACTGCCACAATCAATAGTACTCAACCTGAACATTATGCTAGACATTTGGTTGATTTTATGGCTAAAGCCATGCTGTGATTATTTTTGAGGCCTTAATATTTCTTCTTTGCTTTTGCTCTACTACACTTTTACTCAGAAGATGATTGTGTCCTTTATATCCTGATGTTCAACCGAGCCTTTCAACTAAGTTTATTATCCTTTAGTTCATCATCTGAAAAGTTACTGTGCGTTTTGTATAAAATTTTATTCATATCTTAAAGCAACTTTACTACAAATTAAAAAAAAAAATCTTTTATAATTTCTTCTATATATATTTTCTTTAATAAAATGTCTTTTGGATGTAAAATATGATAGAGTGAAGAATGATGCAGACAAGTATCTTTTATTGACACAAACACTTTTGGTTTTGAATTGGGTTTAATGTTGATATCAAAATTTATGTATGTTGTAATAATATTTATTGCTCAAAAGGTTGTTTCTTGTTTGTATGACTGTATAAGACTAAAAAGTATTTTCAATTTTCCATGACATTTTGTTTTGAAGAGGCATTACATAAATAGTCTTAGAAAATTCTAAGCTTTCTTTTTAAAAAAAACTATATTAAATGTAGATGCAAAATTTTACAGTTAAATACAATGTATCATTCTACATTTTGTAAGTACATCACTGAATTTTATCAAATGTAAGATAAACTGCATAAACTAATATTTAATACTATTGAACTAATTAATAACAAAAGTGCAATAGCATAATTGAGGGTACAATATAAAGCACAACAACTTCCAACTATTCACGCTAAAAAGCTGATTCTATTCAGAAAATCTAGTTACCTCACCTTGGAAATTGGTTTTTACTGGAAACAACACACTGGAATTGTGAGGTGTAATTTGGTATTTCAAATAAAATAAAAAAATTTTGTTGGTATTTTGACACTTTTCTTGTTCATACTATTTGGCATTATGCATAAAAAACTGCACTTAAAAATCTTTTAGTATAGTGTCTACAAATTATCTTTTTAACCTGCAGATAGAAAGTAAAAATTTCTAGCCACTATCTTCTCTGCAAAAAATCAGTCTATCTATCTCATAGGTGATGGAATTAAAATACACATTCACATTAGCTCTCTAAATTTCACACATAAGAAGAAAAAAAATTCTTATGTCCGCTAAATATTTACAAACAAATTTTTTTTCTTTTCTCTTTCTTGTTTTCATTGATAAATTTAAATTGATGATTATTCATAAAAATTTTCTTTATTTGTTTAAAATATTGAGGGAACTTTTAGAGCTTTCTAATTATTGAAGGGACATATACCCTCTCCCCCTCACTAAGAATATCCATGTTATTAAATAAGAGAATACAAGAGAACAATTCCCTAACTTGTGTGATATCTCCACAGAGTTGAGAAACCAAATGTAGAATGATATCTGTATGTCACCAATCCTGATCATGCTTGAATTTTGTGTTTTTGGAATTAAAAACTAGATTGTACTTTGAGGCCATGATAGACAACTAGCACTATGAGTGGAACAAATAATAAAACAATCCTCTTTTTACAAAAAAGGTTTTAACACCCCCCCCCAAAAAAAAAAAAAAATTCAACCCGCTTTTTTTGCCTGTCTATAATCTGACAACAGTGCAATAAAACCTAAATTTTGTATACACTCAAAGTATCCTATTTGAACTTTGCTTAATAAACTTTGATTGAACTCCTTGCAACCTGTTCCCCTCTATAACTGCCCATGTCACTCTTTTTCATGATTTAATTCCTATTTTTGAAAGAAAAAATAATAATTTCTAGATTGTGTTTCTAGGAGTTTGTTTGGTGATTAGTCAACTTATAGAGGGTAATTAGCCAAAAATATCTTAATGTTTTTTTCTTGTTGTTGATTTTGATTTGATTAAAATTTACCAGTCATGTTTTGCTTTAGTCTTTGTTTTAGTTAAGTTTTTGTGAGAAAGTCAAACCAAAGAGATTGTACTACATTGAACTATTTTTTTTTCTTTTTTTTAGATTGCACTTTTTTTGTTTAATTAATTTTTTATGTTTTTACAAAAAAAATTTCAAATAAACTCTTAAGTTAATATTGATTTAATTTTATTTATTGTAATAGCTTCAAATTATTAATTATAATTTTTTGTTATTATATATTAGATACAGTATGTGTATATTGAAATAATTTAGTTTTTGTTTTTGAAATTACTTTCTTTATTTTCTAGTCAATGAACACTAACACAAAATTATAATTTCATAAAAAACATAGTAACAAATTTCCGTAACTATTTTTAGTACTCAACTTCTTTATATGTGATAATTCTTCTAGTTTTAAAATATGATTTTCAGCAAATTTCAAAATTTATTTATGAGACAGAAGCCATCGAATTTCGACTATAACAAATCAATACAAAGTTTAATCAAAATTTAGAGTGAAAAAAAGTTGTTTTAAGTGTAATATAATAAAAATATTTGAATTAAAATTGATAATTTAGAGACTGGATTTAAAGATCCAATGTGAAGTTTTTTTTCTTTATTTTTATTAATATTATTTCTTAATTGGAATAATAACATGTCCTTTAAATGTTGTTTTATTGTTACCAATCATTTTTTAATGTAATTTATCACAAAATTTTCATTCATTCTATTGATTGGGAAGACAATTTATTTTAATTACTGAGGTACTGGCAGTATCTGATTAAACGGTATCTTATTTCTATTGCTTAAAATATAGTTTCATATTTTTTGATAAGTATTAAAACTGAGCATTTTTTAAAAATATCTCTATTATTGTATTAAAGCATAATCTGTGATTTTCTGCTCTTTCCTAATTATTATTATTATTTTTTTTTTTTGTATTTTATGAAAAGTATATAACATCTTTATAACTTATTTTTCATTTATGTATCTCATATTCTAGTTATTTTTCTGGAATACTACTATTATTATAAATGCAACTTTTTTGAGTTGTTAGTGTGTGATTCAAATGTTGTATGAGAATTTATGAGCAAAACTGTTATTTTAGCCATAAATATTATAAATCATTCAGTCTATTTAACCCTTTGACTACAAATTTAAAATTTTTGTTGTTGTCCCGTTTATCATTCAAAAGGACAAAATAGGTCACAAATAAAGCAAATTTAATTTTTTCTGACAAGCGGTTATCAATTTAGAGGGTGGGATACATATGTCCATTAGTAATTTTTAAACATTTGTTGGGACAAATGAGTCCTGTTAATAGTCAAAGGGTTAACTTGAAAACATTTAGTCTAAGTTTGTTCAATTCTTTGCTGTTAACTTTTATTTTGATTTTTTTTTTAGTAGGAATTTTTTATTACTTTCTCATTAGTTATTATGTGGGAAATATGATCATAATGCCTTAATGATTAAATTAGCAATTTTAGTTTAAATGCTTGTGCCTTGCTATTTTAATATTTATAAACTCAATTGAAATACAGCCTTCTTTTGCAATTTCATTTTTTTATAATGAGAAAATATTTGCCTTCACGTTTCTTACTAAGTATCATGTTTAAAGTGAGCTTTGGTGTTGTATTGAATGTTGTCTTAAATTATCTAAATAATTGAACATTTCATTTATCAGAAAAAACAATTATAACTTACAGCTATAAAATAAAACTGTTATTAGTTTACTTAGATCTTTATTTTAAGATTTTATTTAAGATATAATTGTACTATTTTTAATCAATTTGCCAAAATGTATTGATTGTAAAGCAAAAAAATTTTTAAAATTCAATAAAATGACACAGATAGTAAAATTAAATTGTTAAGATTCAATGAAATGACATATATAGAAAAATTAAATCGTTAAAATTCAATAAAATTATGTAGATAGTAAAATTAAATATTCCAACAGTCCAGCATAGATTATCCTGCATTTTTTTTTCTGCATAGAAAGTTGCATTTTGTCCTGCATTCTTCCTGGCATGGCAAATTAATTTTCCAGACTATATTTGATAGGGTAATATTTCAAAGGAAAGAAGTATCCTCTCAAATTTGATGATCTATTTTTAATAAGTTAAATGAAAAACAATACGCACATGTAATGCAGTTTTGAGCTTGTGACTTTAAAAGAATTTTTCTTACCAAACTTGGAAAATTTATGAGCTGTAAATGTTTGCAAAAAAAAATGACATGCAGTTTACATTTTTTTTCCAGATTCCATTCTATAAAATATCAAATATTCATCACACTCAGGGATGCAAAACTCAACAGACACTTTTAAATTTCTTAAGGGTTTATTTAGTTTTAGCTGCATATTTATAAAGAAATTTTGAGTATTTCAGAAAAGTTCATTTTTTAATGGTGTCTCATTTTTTTTAATTTGTAAAAGACTTGTTTTGCAACTAGGGGATACTTTTTTTTCTCACTTATATGTGAATTATTAATGTTTAATTCTGCTTTTAATATTTCTTCCCAAAACGAATAACTTAAGTATCCTCTAATAAATGAAAACTTTTTTCCAAATGCTATTTAAAGTGTTTCTAAATCTGTCTAAAAATATACCTCTTTTTGAGATTTGAAAGCTCCAAATCCGATAATGGGGTGATTGACTTTTTTTGAAATTTATATTGGTCCTAACCAATATTGATTGTTAAAGAAATCTTTTTTTTTTTTNTTTTTTTTTTTTTTTTTTTTTTTTTTTTTTTTTTTTTTTTTTTTTTTTTTTTTTTTTTTTGCAAAACTTGTTTTTTTTAAAGGTAAGGTTTCTATGTTTCTGTAGTAGTTTTGTTTGAAAGTAACTCTTATAAAAAAGCCAATTAAATAAAACCAAATATTTATATGATACACAAAAGAAAATATGTTATAATGAAATTTTAATATATTTACTCATTTTTAAGAGCTAACATCAATAGAATTAAAAATTATTTAATTTGAAATAAGTGGTGACACTTCAAAAATAATAATCTCTGCATTTAAGGCTCATGTTTGCAATGATTTCATCTAAAGTATGTTTTATTTCTAATTTTGAAGCTTAATTCATAATTGGATTAATTAACTTTCGTTATCTATTTATAAAGTATCTAGTCATGTCAATATGTGTGCTTCTTTTACATTTGTATATATTTATTCCAGTTGTATGATAATTTCTGTACGCCAATATCAAATTATTGGTGATTGTATAAAAAGAAAAGTCTTATTAATCTATGAAATTGACAGCCGGTGAAATTTTTAGTGTATGACATTACAGATGATTGCTGTATTATATTGTGACAATTTTTAGCTTTTATTTTTTTCCTAAATATTTTAGTAATTGTAGGCTATTTAAGCTTTCTATTATAAGAATGCATTAAAAATATCTGTACAAAATATGATTGTGGAATTTAAGTACATTCATAACATTGTAAAAAAAATTCAATTTTACTGCATTTTATCTGTAATTAGTACATTAAAGAAACAAATGATAAGGTGGGATTTCTTCATAAACTTTAATATGTTTGAAATTTAAAGCATTCAATTATTGTCAAATAATTTATGCTAATGTATTTATTGTAGATAAATTTTAAGATCTGCTGTTTTTTAAACATTTGATAATGAGCTGTTAGTTTAACATTCAACTAGTTTCTCAAAATCGATTCTGATATTAATGAAAACTTTACTCTAAATAAAAATAATATTTATAAATATATAGTCTACTAGAAAATGAAAGCCCATTAATTGTATTTTTGCTCTAATATCTGTTTCATATCATAACACATTGTCACAAATGTGCAATGAATGTGTGCTCTATTTCTTGCTCTAACAGATAAAATGTAAAGCATGATGTTCAAGTAGCAAAAAAGATCTCTGGCAAACAAATTTTTTGAATTTGAATATTTTTTTAAAAATATGCCCTGAAATTCCAAATTGGATCTTCTTAATTTTTTCAGCAACATGCTAACACTATCTTTTTTTAATGTTAAATTGAATGAACGTGTCATTTATGCATGTTCTTATCATGTATTAAGTTAACGCTTTCTACAAAATGCGTATTTAAAAATTTTTTACTCTGAAGTTTTTTTAATTAATTTACTTTGTTACATTTTTTGCAAATACTTGTGAAATTTATAAATTAGCATTAGCTATTAATGAATACTTATATCTTTAAGTATGACATAATAAAAAAAATCCTATTTTCATTCTCTTTAAATAATATGAGCATCAAATAATTTAAGGCTTTTTGTCAAGAATAGATAATTTCTTAGTGGTCCCCTCTGGGCTTTGCCTTTAAGTAAATATGAAACCCATGATTCCAAAGTGAACCTTTCATCTTTTTACTATAGGTTTAGTTTAAAACTATGTTTGATCATTCTACGTAGAGTGTCTGATATTGTTTGTACTGTTATTGCTATATTGGCATACTGTAACAGACTCTACATTCAATCCAGTCCAATCTCGGTGCCCAAACCATTCTTTAAAGAAGCAGTACATCATGCAATAAATGGAATAGACACTAGCAACAAATAAGCCAGGCGCCTAAATTTTTGGTGCCTTTTGAAATTTTATTTCAAAGGAATCCTTTTGGTATTTAAGAAACAGCAGATTTCTTTCTTCTGTTTTAACCTTCCGACTACCAAGAAAGAAAAAGTGTATAAAAATGTACCTTTAAAATGTAAGATAATTTTAACCACCTAATTTAGATTGAAATGCGATCTTTAAAACACTTCACATAATTGCAAAGCATTATTGACCACTTGCAGTACATTCAGGTCCAAACAACCCCCTCTGGTAGTCAAAGGGTTAAATATACAAAGTAATTGCTTTTTTCGATTTAATAAATAATCTTTGTGGCAATTTAAATTTCACTTAGAAGACAAAAGCTGTAGATACTATCAAGGCAAGTTTTTGCTGTTTAGATATTAGACATTTTGAGAATTTCCATGATATGCATTGCTCAGAATTTTTACCAGTTTCAAAGTCTTCATTGTA